GATGCCTAATATATCTGAATCTAGGCAGGCTCAAGTCTGAGTTCGCAGATATGTTTCCACAGATTTTTTAAATAGATCTTTTGGAGAACTGTATTTCTGCCAACAGCTAACACTTTAACCACACATAGGTATTTATGAGACAGATTATCATAGGAAAGGGTAGAGGATTTAGCCTTTGCAGAGTTCTGTCTTGCCAACTGTTACATTTCTAATGTACTTCCTGAGTTGGCGCCTTACCCAGAGCTGATTCATCCTTGGGGAATATGTCTTCCTTCGGCCAAAAGGAAGTGACTACATAAAAGCCGCGGCTGAACAACCTCAATTATGAAAGGAAATATGGTTTAGAATGTATTTTATGATGGGCTTTAAAGCAAAATGCCTGTGTCTGACATTTTATGCATCTTACTTTTCAGAGGGTTTTAATTACTCAAACAATATGGAGACACACTCGCTCACCTGAGAACAGATGGAGTTGGAATGGAATTTTGAATATACTCCATACTTTGATCCCTTAGCAACCTTGATATACATAGCATATTTATGCACTGTCTTCTGTCTTCTGGCATCCTCTCCCCTACCTTAATTTTAAGGAACAAATGTGTTCCTTAGAATAATTTCCCTTAGCACTTGGGTATCTCCGCAACTATTCTGAAGCTTGGAGAGTGGTTCAAGAACTAAATATTTATTGAGAAAATTAATTTGTCATGATTGTTTTCACTTCCTAACTATTGTCCCCAGACTTCCACAAAAGCTGGTGATACTGTCTGGTAGTTAGCCAAGGCAACCAGAATAAATCCACCTGCCTTGCTGTTAAGAGAGTAGTAGAGACAGAGGAGGTGGTAGAGGTGGGGGAGGCATCGGTGTGCTTGGTGAAGGTAGAGGAGGAGATGGTATATGGACTGGGAGGGTGGTGATGATAAAAGTGGACATGTTGAAGGGGCTAGTTAAGATGGTTAACTAGGCCCTCCCTGGTGGTGCAGCGGGTTAAAGCACAGCACTGAGAAGCTAAAGCCACTTCTGCATGAGTTCGATCCCCGCCTGTCCCGGAGGTGACCACATGACGCGGCAGATCTCTCCTGGCCTGCCCACTGCTCCCCTCAGCAGTGTACTTCATAGATCTGTCTGTTTTACACCCCACTCTGTCTCTGGTGAATCCTCTCGTGCTCTGCCGATCTGGAGATAGCTTGATAGGGCTGAGAATAACACC